TTATATGATTGAAGAAGTCATATTAAAGAAGGAGCGTAATTTGACTATTTAACATATATTTATTGTAAAAAGTGAATTGTTATAGTATATAAGAGTTACTGTAGTTTTTGAGGTGACAGTTACAGGGACATTGGGTTTGCTCGCAGACAGTAATTAATTATCAATTAATTCATCATTTTTGATGTATGAAACTATTTTTTCTCATGAAAAAGATGTTAAATAATAATGTGTTCCAAATGATTGAATGAAGTTACGCTACCATCTTAAGCTGGCAGTAATAGGGACATCTACCCTAGTCATGTTTGATTCTAGTTCTAGACTTCTCGGAGTCATGTTCGAGACCAGAGACCAGTAACTGAAATATATTTGTTTCGTTCGAACACCGTTTCCGTCCCGTCACGTGGTCACAGAGACTCCATTAAGCACTCTCTATTCCTGGACGTAGAAGTACACCCGTTAATGAATGTCTTTAATGGAGAACCAAGACGTAAATATACATCGTGTGTTCCCGTTAACGAGTTTACTCGGACCAGGCAAACACATTCTGCTTCCCATGGTGTCAGGTAATGATCTTCGGTAGTCGCCGTCAATAATCGATATCGATAGACAGTGTCGTTCGTGGGATTGTCACGAAGTAACGCTCCTGTTGACGCATGTATTAACGATAAATGTGTCCTGCGGTTTCCCTGTAATATATTGGACCGCGCCTGTACACGCGTGGCCAGCTTCGATGCGTCGTAACTGACAAATCGTATCTGTCGGGAACAGACAGGTGGAAACGCCGATTAATTGCCAGTCACGGTTCGGGCGTCGCTCTATGTGCGGTTCTTCTCCAATATCGAGTGAAAAAAAACTCAGCGTTTATCAACTGTTTCGATGAATTGCTACCAGCAGTTGTGTTTCAGCTTCGAACACAGCGGAAATTCCGTCGGTAGATCTAGCATCAAGCAGGGAAAGAATTTTCACGATGTGGAGTATTTAATTATAACATAACAAGCTGAACATAAAATTTCCAATTCCTAAACTTAATTAAGAACAAGTGAAGAGTGTTTTTTTTTCTTATAATATTATTAACATGAATTGACATGACATCGGTCACTTTTGCGACGTCAAATTGTATACAAAAGTATACATACCTATATGCCAACGCGGATAGAGAGTCATGGGTAAGTTTGTCATCTCATCATCATATCTGTAGTTCTAGTGTTAAAAACCGTTGGAAAATTTTGTCCATACAATTATTATCGTAGTATAATTCAAAACAGAACCAACTAAACGCATATATTTTCGACAATTCATAACTTAAAAAGACGAAATAAATCGTATCTGGCTACATACGGCATTTTTCACTGTGACAGAGAACGTGTTAAGTAAGCTCCTGAAATTTCATGTTCGAGGCGTAAATGACATTCTTGAAACGTTCAAAGCGAACCAAGGTGAAAATTCGCGGCACAGATCGTAAGTTTTACAATCGACATGGAACACTGAAACGAACGAGACCTGTTTCGCGTGAACACAACGGGTACGTTTATCACGCGTGGGTGGTTGTCTTTACGCCTTTGCACGGTTCAAAAGAACACGAATTCTAAATCAGCGTCGGATTAAATATACGAACGCGTAATTCCAGCGCACAGTGCGGTTCTGCGCGTGCAATTCACTCGTGGTTGGTACGTGGGGGAAAATTGCTTTTGCCGGGGCTCACGAAACGGGAGATACAGCTTTTAAAGCGACCATCGAATTGATACGTTAACGCGCAGGGAAAGGCTGGCAAAAGAAACACGGGAACCTTTGCCCTATTTCGGGGGCGCAAGGTCCTTCTCTTTCGCGACGAGAAACGAGCAGAAAGACACACTCCACACAAATACCGAAGCTTTTTCGTCTCCCCTCGCAGCGAGAAGATATATTGAAATCCGGTCGTCGAGTTCCAGTAATATATGGCGACTCGAATCGAATCCTCTTTGAGAGATCATCCGGATATATTGGACGCCACGGGGCAGCCTCTGCATCCCCTGATAATTCTATCGTTCACATGGAAACTGTATATCAATCGAAATTTTCGTTAATTTCATTAGCAATGAAATGCACTTCGAGTTGTCTCTTTGACAGAACGTGGACAATTTCTATAGAGTTGAGGAAATAAGATTGAAATCTCAATAAGCAAACCTTGCTACTTTGAAAATTTTGCTTTTTTTTCAAACTCCGCAGGTCTGTGGCGTAGCAATCTTTTGTTTTCGCTGATATTCCGTTCTTTGAGGTGGAATCACAAGAACTGAATGCCAATAGAAAAAATTGAGGTTCCCTATAAACTTGCGACGTTTAAGAACAAAATCGGAATTGTCGGGGCACCAAGTTCCCTTGTAACCAAGTTCTGGTGTGACTGGTACAGTGCAAAATTTTTCAACGAACAGAGGACCGTGGATAGGAAGACGGGAAAATTATCCGACTTAGTCCATATCTGTCTGAGAAGCATTTCACGCCACTGGCATATTCTTTTTCTGTCGGATTCCAAGCTTAAACTCCATTTTTAAAAGATCGTCGTCAAGAGCAAGAACGATGTCTGCGGGATCCTGCTTTCAAGGATCTTTCTGAGCCATTGAAACGAGGCGAGTTCTTGCTTAAAGGGAACCTGATAAAATCATTAAATCATGGAAACGGAACGCGTTGCAGCCATGACCTCGTTCGCGAGCTTCATTAAAGTTGTTTGCCAGTCGAGGATTCTTTTCGTCTTCGTTGCCCGAAATTCAATTTCGACTACCCACCGTCGTGTTCCATTAATCTTCGCGTGGTTGGCTCGAAGCTTTTAACAGCGAATTCATTGTTTCCGCGAATTTGCGTTCGTTCGAAAGATCATTCATCTTGCGATCGTTTATTTCACGCTTTTTCAACATTTCGATTACGTCGATGTCCGATTAGCCCGTAAGTCATGGCCGGGTCGAAGGGTAGCTATTCCATCCCATTGATCACTGAAGATCACGAGGGATCGTTCGAATAGAACGGAGAAAGTGGATTGGAGTGGTCCGAGAACCGTCAAAGGGAATAACAAGTGAATCCCTACCCTGGAAACAATACGATAAATTCTCCTACTACCGTATAATTTTCCACGGAATTATTCACTGAAAGCTTTATGAAAATTCATTACACCACCGGTTTCCACGAATTTCTCGAACAATGTTGCGGGGGACTGAAGAAAAACCCGCAGGAATGATAAACTTGCGTTTTAATTTTCTTGAAACACCACCCGACAACTTTTCCATTACTAAGGACGATCGTTGGATAAACAATAAGCGGAGAAGTTCGTAAGAATCCGTATAAAGGGACAATTGTCTCTGGAGAGTAGATATCTTGAGGTGAATATTTAACGGAGAAGAGATCAAGAACGAATCTATCGATCATCGTTAGAAATGGTGTGTAAACTCTCTAACAGAGATTTATCACAGTGATCGTCGAATCACGATCACGACCGTGATTTCATATAATTCACGACCGTGACTTTTGTATCTTGAGTGAATTTTCTCATTGTGATCGTAATTCTTGATCTTTTAAAAACAACTTATTCAATATGATTTTAAAATGAATTACATTATTACTTGTATTTTCTAAAATCAGTAGGAAGGACAAGAAGTTTTAAAAGAATGATTGGCTAGGTAACATATAGATTATAATTTGTAATCATTAATTTAATCATTATTCTTGATGGTTCCTCATTATTTTTCCCTTTACATTATACTTTATACGATGTAACTCGAATTTTTGTTTTGTTGTCGATAAAATAAAATATAAAGTATACAGACGCGTGCAAAGAACAGAACTGTTGTTGTGCTTTCTACCAATCAGAAACGACCACGAAAAATTACCGTTATTGGGTGATCGGAATCACTCGTGATTCACAAGTAGGAATTTACGACATCTTTGGTTATCGTGGTCGAGCAGAATCGCGAGCGTCCGATCGGAATTCGGACGCGAACCGACACGGCTGGCCGACCTCCATTATTTTCCAGAATCACAGGACCCCTATAATCCGTGATTCTTAATAAATTTGTCGACTGAACCGAGACGGGAAAGGGAGGAGACCGGAAACTCGGGCAAATTGCGTACTCTGTCTGGGACACATGGTTTCCGTATCGGAGGCGAGGGATAAATTGAATTTCGCGTATTGTAACTGTGGCATAGAGGTAGCAGCAGCCTGGCGTTCATTAAAAGCCTCGGTGTACTTTGTAGTGCTCGTAAATTAATAGGGATCGTCGGGCCAGAATAGCGAGGCAAACGCATAGAATTAAAATGTGATCCGTTCATGACCCAGCCGTTGGTAGTAAATAACCTAGCATTTTCCATTTTCCACTGTGCAACCCTTGCGTGCAACGCCGTACTGGGCGAACAATAAATTTATTCAGCTTCCTGGAAAACTCATAATGATTATTAACTGATAATTAACTGGTGATTTATTAGGTATTTGCCTCTGCGCTTTAATTAGGCTCGGTGTTGAGGGACCATGGGCAAGGTATAATCTTCTCTATGGAACAACAGTATCGTGATTTAAGTTTACTTGAGGTATTTCCGTTGTTTTCTATTGGGAATATCGTCTGATCCTCGTGTATTATTAACCCTAGAATAATAACATCAATTTTTCTGCGCAAACAGTAACATTGTGTAAACATGGATAACTTCTATGTCTACAATTCTCATTAGCCTCGATATGTATACGTGGTCTTTACAGTAAGGTAGTGATTAATGATACGTTTTTCCTTCCAGGGATACAGAAAAACGTGAAAACAGCTTAGGAAGCATGCAATCGGTGGTGGCCTCGCCAGCAAGAACCAGAAAGTTCCTCGAGTCGTCTAGCTGGCTCCCGAGAGTGTAAGTCCGCGAACTGCGTGAGCGCAGTCACGCGGACGGCTCGAGGTAAAATCGCACGATGGAAAACGTCCTCGTGAACGACCGACGTCGACGACAACAAGTGGTCCAAGCCTGTGAAGTGTCATTGCCAAGAAGCTAATCGCAGTCATGTCGAACGAGACTAATGCGTCCAGCGATTTTCTCGACTACGACATCAACGAGTCGTTCAGCTACTTCGACTGGGCGGAACTGGCTCCCGTGCTCGTCGTCTACTCCCTCACGTTCTGCCTCGGATTAGTTGGTGAGTATACCGATTCTCCCCCCTCAAATCTAGAACATCATCGACATCGCGCAGTGTGGTATTTTCCCAATCGAGCCAAATTTAATTTAAAAAAAAGAAAAAGTTGATATACGTATATGTTTTGTACTTAAGAGTCCAGAATTATAAAATTAACTTCTGTATAGACATAATAGTACAGTACATAGTACGCGTGTCAACAATTATAAAACGAATCGCAAATTTTCAGCGCAATTTCAATTTTTTTCGAACATGTGTAAGTGAAAATTTTTTATTATGAATTATTATAGATATTGGATGAAGATTGAAAATAAGGTAATTTTGTTTAAATAAATTATTTATTAGATTGTCTGTCTGTCCCTCGACTTTGGATCGATCCAATTTAAAATCGACCATCATTAAATTTTCTCATTACGTTCAGTTAGGTTATATGTAATTCCCTGTTTGCTGGCGTTCTTTTTGTTCACATTCGGCTGACACTCTGGCACGGGTGATTAATCAGAATTTCAATATTCAGTTTGGAGATTATCTGGAGAAGCCGAGCTTTTCCAAGCGGATTACGCTTCCTGATTTAACGGCGAGCGTGCGCGCTCCGTTCGAATATTTGATTCATTATTACAATGAATTTTGTTCCGCGTCGTTGTTAATCACGCATCGGGTTGTATTATCATCCGCTTGGAATTGTTATTATTTAAAGAGACGACACGCATCGATTAGTTTTATCAATGACTTCCGCCATTCTGTTATTGTCGTCTGTGTAATATTTTCGAAACTCGACGAGCAATAATGGAAACAGCCTACAGAATAATTTATATAATTTATTAGATTTTTTCGTACATCGAAGGAATTTTGAAAATTATCACTAGACTGCAGATGTCTATGCATTTATAGCGTTTCTTAAGTTGGAAAATTACAAGAATATGTTATTGTTAACGTAGTAAAGCCTTTAGTATAGAATTGAAAATTGTGCTATATTTTAATTTTTAGATATCGGTATATAAAATTTTGATTTTGCATAAACTTCTGCAGTCCAGTTATCATCATGTGGGAATTAAATGTGATTCGAGTGTACAGAGTTTCCATAATGTATACATATGTATACTAGATCGCGTTATCAATCACGTACACGTCCGTCCGACGGAACGGTCCAAAGCACAGCAGACGATGCAAATTGTCTTTCAGAACGGAGATTTCCAAACTACAATGCAAACCGCGATGCAATCTAACTTTAAGTGCACTATTATCGTGAAGTTTGCCGTTAATATTATTACATAAACGGCAGGATGCTCCTAGATTTACTTGATGGGAATTTTCGGTAATTCCCAATTAATTGCATCCAATCCAAGCGCAAACTTTGTTTTAAACGAAACGCTGCCATTACCTTAATTCTTTCAACAGTTGTTATTGTTTCACATTGTGCATTATAACGAATTCGTAGAATTTCTGGTAATTCCTTCGAACTATTGCCCTTAATGGAACAGTCGTTCAATTGTTTCGTCCAAGAAGGATCAACCTTATCGATCAGGTTCCATTAAACTCGATCGTAACTCGGCATTATAATCAGGTTGGCACGAAAGCCGCGCACCAGGGGGGCGTGGTAATTATCAAGTTTTAATGAGAAAACACAGAAACCGTGTGCAAAGCAGCTCCTTGTTTTATTTCAGGAAACGTCGTCATCATCGCCTCGACGCTCTGCCCGAGATTGAGACCTTTACCAGCGACACCGACGAACGTCTTTCTGGGCGGTTTGGCAACCGCTGATCTCTTGCTCATAATCTTCTGTATCCCCGTGAAGGTGAGTCTAGTCCAAAGACTAAAGACTAATTTCCTGTCGGGTTTGCCGACGTCTTAGTTACTGATAACGGGCACCGAGCTTCACCTACGATTATAATGAAATTTTCCTAGGGTGTTCCACTTAACACTAGAATTACCAAACCAGACTAGAACTAGACTTCGGATTTTATGCACTTATAGACTCTAGAGCAAAACTTTCATCGGGTGCAACGTGTTTTCTATTTTATTCTGAACTCGATAAGATACTTATAGTCACTTTATAAAATTTTATTTTGCATAAAAATCCGTAGGGTACTTATAACGATTACTAAAATGTTACAGCAATACATTCTTTTAGATCTTTCGCAACTTTTATTATTTGGTTAAAACATTTATATTTGCGATTTAAAGGGTTAAAAATAAAGTAAAAAAATAGGTTAGTTTGTTATGCTTATCAACAGATAGAAATAGATATATGTTTATCGTCGGTAGTTCTAGTGTTAATTCAATCTCTTGAAATACAGTATTACTATTATCAAATTTTTAGGTAATAGGTAGCTAAAGGTAGAGGTAATATTTCTGTTATCAAATCTTTACGTAAAATACCGATACATAGTACAATCTACAGGACAACACAGATCGTTGTTGAATGAAATTACAAAACACAATAGGTAAAATAGGCTGTGTAAAGAATTCAGCCAGTATTATTGTTCCGAAATATGAAAAAGTCGTGAATTACCGCATGCACTCGTGAACAAGGGGAACAAAGTACAAGATCAAACAATAAGGAAACAGAAATGTGCATGAAACTTTGCTAACAGAGACAGCGGTTCATATTTGCTTGAATTTATTAGAATAGCCGAGAGCCATTTTCGAAATGAAACTCGAGGGAAAAAAGAGTTCCGAGCGATCTGAATAACTTAATTGGAGAACAGTTCAAGAGAATGGTATTCTGGTTTACCATTGCGATCGTGTACTGTTCTATTCCTACATTATTCATAATTCCTTCGTATTAATGTTATCGAACCATTCAGCTGTGTTGTCCAGGGACGAACGATATCGCGATGTTTCAGGGAAATACAATACTACAGTTACGATTATTCATACCACAAAGCATGTTAATTAATTTGAACCTTGTTTCCACGCAGCTTGTTATCGCATTTGTGTACCAGCTACAATAATTTAGAATCGTGGTGATTCTTTGGTGTGAAACACGAGGGAAAAACAGATTGTCGAATTAAAATCGGTTCGCTAACCGAAAAATCACACGAAACGATGACCGTTGGTTTCATATTTCACTGCGTGATAACACATTTCGGAAGTCTATTCTCGTCGTTTCCAATTTATCATACGGTCTGTCCCTTTGTTGCGCATTAATCATGATATTTCGCCGCGGTTCGATCAGTCGTACTTTTTACATGGACCACGCTGTCGACCACTTGTGATCGATTGTTTCAGCTAGACGTGTCTTTTGATCGAAACAACATGTAGGACTCCCTTATGAACGTTTTGACTTTAACAGGTTTTGAGCCAGAGTAAAGCAGAATGTTATTTGAATAATAGTTTAGTTTAGTTTATCCAGAGTATAATTTACATTGTATTACAAAGCAAATTCCTATAAAGGTACACAGAGGTCACCTGTACATATGTCAGGAGATACTTATCTATCAAAGATAAAAAACTGAATATACTATTAAAAACTAAGAAAGGAAATTATTGAGATGAAATAATTTTTCGCCAAATGTCGAATTATCGAAGAAGATTATTATTCTGGTATAAAAACACTGAAATTTCCACGTTTAAACGATTAAAAATGACAAAGTGCTTTTTTATCTTTTATTCAAAACTCTTTATCTGTATAATGAATATACTCATCTCTGTTTTGTGCTTTCGAAGCTTCACGAATCATGGACGTTAATTATGCTGCATGGAGTTTCTTCGATCAGGAGCAAATGATCAAAGTTACCACAGAAATTATTATCTAGTAAGTTGTAGTAAGGTACACGCTGTAACGATTTTGAGAAGCTGGTAGGAAGCAACGAGTGGCTGTTAAATGTCATGTTAATGGGGTAACTGAAAAGAACTCGAGACACCGTGTCTCCGTCACGAGGTGTACGGATAATCCGGTGTCAAGGCGCCGCCGCGACGTTCTGGCCTGAATGAAAATAAAATCGACTAGTGCCAAGTTCTAAATTTACGTATCCAAGAAACAGCTCGATGCCCTGTACACATAGATGCTCTCGCGCGCGAACTTTGCCTTCTGTTTTACGGCCTTTGTCGGTTAATTACACGTTATTCCCCTTCCAACAGAGGAAATTGAGTTGAACCCGACTGATTGAGACTTTTATGCAGATTTATTTGGCCCTTACGTTCGCGTGCAATCCATGGAAGCAACTCTTTTGAACCATTGACGACCGTAAACGTACCAGTACCTATGGTTCTATCTGCCATTCTTTGCACTACTATTTGAAATAGGTATTGAGTATTTTCACAGTTGTATAAGTTGTTTAGAAACTGTAATAATTTCAATTTATTAGGTGAACATTTTTCGTTATTACATTCAGAAACGATTTATTCACAACCGTTTTTTTGAAACAGGGCGACATCATACTCGAGAAACGTCAGTCGGTTAATTGAACCATGTTCTCTTGTCTAGCGTTGAAAGGTAAGCGATCAGAGGCACGTTTACTATCAAAAAGATGAAAATTCCACAAGAAAAGGTAAACATTATCATAATGAAGCGTATCTTTCAGCATTTCGAAACTTTAAAGAGTTTATTCTCGATCTCAATTGCTTTCATTCCCCATAAGCGACTCGTTCAAAGATCTTGTTTTCAAGAACTTTCGGTGGTAACCGTAAAAGAGAGACTTCCGAGTGTTCATGAAACCGCTGGAAAACTTTGCAGTTTCGTGCAGAAAAAGTTCGACCTTCGAGTAGGAAACATTTAACCGATTCTCGGGCAGCCTACATGATTCCTCGACGCGTCTTTACGAGATAAAGGTGTCCACGGGTAGTTTCCCCGTAGCTACAGGGGAATATGTATAGGGTCAGGGGTGAAATTGAGTGGGAGGGTTGACAAGCGAGGACCTGGAGTTTTTCCGAGATCTTATTGCCCTATACAGGCTGCAACAATTTAATCCAACGGACTGCTCGGCGAACTATCACTAGATTGCAGAAGTTTACGCAAATTTACAATTTCCGATACCAATATTTAAAAATTCGGATGGGATAGAATTTTGAATTCCATACTAGAAGCTTTACTACGTTAATAATGAGTCTAGACTGCGGATGTTTATGCATTTATAGCAATTTTTAATATGCAAAATGTAGTAAAATAAAGATTTTAATAAAACTTAGTGATATTTAGAAATTACTATCAGCATAATAAGAGAATTAGTACAGGAATTAAATTTCTAGCTGATTTTCATGTTTCTAAACTTATGTCTCATTGTTCTAAAATTCTGAATTTGCATAAACATTTGCAGTCTAATAATAACATGTAAATAGTATTAAAATATATATTGAAACCGTTATCTTATTGCATTTTCCAAGTTAAGAGATGCTATAAATGCATAAATATCCGCACTCTGACTATCACAGACTACTCGGTCGAGAGCGAACCGTCTTCGTAATCGTCTCGGCTCGCCATTCAATCCAACGAGGCCTGATTTAATTTATTATCGGCTCAATTCGATCCTTTCAGAGCCAGGCGATGTCGCTCCGTGATGACGCCGAAGAAGTTTTCTCGTGTTTTTTTTTCTCCCGATTATTATGTTTGGGGTAGTTTCTCTGGCGGAGAAAACTTGTTTGCCTACTTTCCAGGGTGACTTTGCGGTTAAATGTCACTCTATGAATCACCAGTCGCTAGACATTCTCTTGCATCAGAACTTTTCGGAATATCAGACTGTTTGGAGATACAGTAGGGTATAACAATGTAACAGCTATTTCTAAGGCAATTAACTTTCTGTTCCTCTGTAATTCGATATCACTAGACTACGGATTTTAGGGATTCATAGCCTGTAGGGCTCCGCGGAATACAATAGAAGGCAAGAGTTTCTAGTCCTGGAATTTTTCTATTTTATTCTGAACCTAATAAGATACGAGAAATATGTATAAAAATAAAAATTATTGTAGAAAAAAAACGTAAAATATATGTTTAATATAAAAATAAAAATTATGCAGAATTTTATTCCCTCGCACTAGAAGCTTCAATATGTAAATAATAATATATGAAGCATATGGGACTTTATTAAAATTTATATTCTAGTGTGTTTTGCAGATTAGGAAACACTATAAATGTATAAAGATCCGCAGTTTACACATTTTGCATAAACATCCACAGTTTAAATATCACTGATGACACAATAACCTAGTAGGGAATAGTTGTAGGGAGTGGGGGTGGGGGTTATATTTATGTGGGAATGCAACGTCACGTTCTCATTCGTAGTAGTATTACCGTGGTGTGAACAAGTATTAGTGTCTATACCTCTACGTGACGTTACCTAATCCTGATACGGAATTCTCCTGGCAACGCAGCTAATGATCGCAGACAGTGTATTAAGTGTTCGTTTAGGTGTGTACAAGTGTATATACAGAATTTTTCGATTATAGAAAAGTAGTTAGCACCCCACAGCGTTCTTGCGGGATGAAAATATCAATATTGCATCGGAGGTCTTTTTCCAGGGGATGTAAATTTTCGTTATCGTCGACGGTTCATTGTCTCGTGGATGGGTGTTCGGAAATGAAATTTCACGTCGTCGATCCGGCGAATTGAACGAGCGTGAGCGCGCGTGAAACGGAATATTAATGCGTCAAAACGAGAGCGGCTGGACCTGAACGTGATAGAGTATCGTTTAAAACTCTACCTAGTCTACGTGATAGGGAAAAAAACCAGCAACAACAACGGGAAAGCTAGTTTGTTTTCGTCTTTGAACGTCAAAGGCGAACGGGGCTAGGTGTGGCGGAGGGGTTCGTTTGATTTACGAGTCGAAACGAAAGCACACGCGCGCATAGACTTATTTA